TATTTGTCTTAGTCTATTCTTGCTTATTTCGGTTGAATTATGTATTGGAGAGGTTGAATTTTACACTTTTGGAATCCTCAACTGTTTTAGCTATGTTCAATGCTCTTATCAGCACTGAATCTCCTAGACCTTTTACTGTTTCTAAACCAGATTATCTCTATGAAATCTCGTATAACTCATAAAACAAAAAAAATTCCAGGATACCATTCCCCTCCATTGTAAATCCACATATTGCCTTCACCAAACTTACAACTTCCTTATCCAAAAACTTCAAAACTCTTGTAAAGCCATCAAGAAAACCTGTCAAAGAACACGTGCAAACCACTTACTTTAATAAGTGCCAAACTCCTGTTATTGCCTAACAACGTGTTACTCTAGAAGTCCCTCTAGCATCCATATCTCAATGGATTCATGAAGGATATTCTCGCATGCATTTTTGTGCTATCAGATATGCCCTATCATATCATGGTAGAGCGGGACTTATAGTCTTTGTCCAAATTGCTTTATTGGACATTTGTCCATTATCAACATGCTTATAAAGGCTAGGTGTAGACAACCCCGAATGTTGGAACAATAATCATGATACTATTTCCAACTTCAACTGTCACTCTCTGATGTGCATTGTTCAAAAGCATTTAAAGGTTTAGCTACAAATTATTAGCCTGTGGCAAACTATGATCATCGACTTAAATGGTGATAGAACTATTACATCTTGGAGGTCGTAGAAGAAGTTTAAGGACTTAAAAGAAACATAAATTTTTTTTGACAAACTGTAAATCCCCTCCCCCTTCTGTGATTGCAAGCATGAAATTCTCTCCTCCCTAGAAAGAAAAGTACTCTTATTTATAATACATAGTTAGAAAATGATAGGACATAGTTGGTCTTTTGAGGACTCAGTTATTAACAACATGACTTTTGATCAACTTGTAAACATTATTACAAACATTTGACAAATTTGCAAACGTTATTATAAGCTTTTGACAAACTTGTAAACATTATTACAATGCAAACTTTTGACAAACTTGCATTCTGACAATGACGTGGAATATTAATCATCATCCAAATTGGAAGTCAAGATATCACATTGCTTGAATAAAATCTGATGGGATCTACGAGGTTTGCATATTTGGGTAATTGTCTGGTGATTGCGTTGGATGTTTATTGAAAAAGTTTGAAGGATTAATGACTTGTCGTTATTTGCACTTGTGTAAATAATATTCACGTGCTTATTAGAGTTAGTGCACTTGAGAAAAGTCTAGCTTAGAGTCTTCCTTTAGAATACACTCAACATTTACTTCAAGCTAGACAAATGTGCATGAATACATTCACAACTTAGTTATTATCCACCCCAAACACTTCAAAAATTCATGATTATCCAGAATGGTAGTATCATGACTTTTAGTCAGAGCCTTCTCAAGAGTATGAACTCCAACAAACANACTCTCAAACATATATGGTGGTGAGACGAAGTTAGATGTTGGTTGATTAGAAGGGATTGCAACTAGAGCAAAACACACGTTCACTCATGTTTTTTGCTATTGGATAATGAAGGAGAAGAATAAGTTATTTTGGGTTTTAGTTTGTAAATATATTTTGAGTCTAATATGTTGGGTTTCTCATCTTTATATGGGAGGGAATGAGGTAAGACACAACCTATTTTTTCATTTTAGGCACAACACAATTGAAAAAAAGCGATAAAATGTGTTGTTATAGTGAAAGTTGTTACAGTGAGTCCCATTATAGTGAATATTGAGAAAAATAGTTGTGGGATGCATTTTAGAGAGAGAAAGAGGAGAAAGAAATTTTTCTCTCAACTTTCATTGTAGTAGGTGCACTATAGTAGTTTTCACTGTACACATTAGTAGGTGTTGTCGTCGGCCTTTTTGCCACTTTTTTCAATGATTTTTTTTTTTTTACCCAAAATGACCACCACCCATTGATAATTGCATGTTTTGTGTATTGTGTCATTGCTCCATTTTAGGTCAGGCTTTGGTCAACCTCGACTTGCAAAATCCAATATGTAGTCACCCAACGCTTCAACAGTCTCCTCTCTACAAAACCTTAAACAACTTGGTTGAGCTTGTTCTTTGATCGTTATTGCGGAATCCTAGGTTTTTTTGTGCTACAATGGCGATTGGGTTTTGATTGAAGTTGTTTTGGTTTGTTTAGGAGGAATTGTTTGTCTTTTTGATCATGTGATTATGTAAAATGAGGGCGGTGTTTAGATCGACAGATTGATATTGGTGTTATTGATGTCATTTAATTTTGTATAGTTAAGGTTGATTTGTTTGATTGGGACGAAATATATATGGCAATTTCCCACAGGTTAATTGTTTCAATTAGTAATGTTAGGTCTATAATTAAATCTCATAATCTTCTCTTAGTCATTGGTTAACTCGTAAAATGGGTTTTGCTTGTTTTGTATGAGCTCATCTGTTCATTTATTTTACGAGTTAATCAATGACGAGCTATCACGTTGGGGTTGTAAAAGAAAATTGTAGACCTAACATCATTGTTGTTCAAATAATTGAATTTTTATTTGTCTTATTATATAACTGTTTAGACATGTTGCAAGGGCCCATCATTTGGAAGAAGGGAGGCAATATGAATTATTAATTGAATAATACTATACTCATAAAGAAATCTTACAAAAAATTTCATACAAAGTGAGGTGGCAAAAAAAAAAAAAAAAAAAAAAAAAAATTGGAATAGTGAATATAATAAATTTAACTTTTGTTTCATTATTTCATTCATTTTTTATCATATCAATTTGTATGGTTTACTTTGTAAAATTTCTTTGCAAGTGTAGCATTACAATTGTTAATTTTGGGCGTGTTTGTTTTACTATTCTTGTTATATTTAACTCTATCTAAAATATATATTTGCTTCAATGTTCTCAAAATCTAATCAATTCAATTCAAAATATTTAGATTTTTTAACTTTTTGGGTTTGTTAATTTAAATAAACACTCCCAATAATAAAAGTTCATAAATTGACAAAATACTCTTGTCCAATCGCATATTCTTGGTAGTCGGCCACCACCGTAGGCATTTAATAGGTGGGTGAGGTGTTTTTGTTAATTTTTAATGTTTTATTATAGATGATGTTTAGCTAAATTAACAAATGTAGAGGGTGGTTTAGTTAATTTTTAAATTTTATTTTTATAATAATAATTTAATTTAACTTTTTAAAAAAATTCTATTTAAAATACTGGATCAAACACTTTTTAATTTTGTTATATTTATCTTGAATATTAAATGAAAAAATATAAATCATTAATAAAATAAGAATTTTGAAACTAACTCTTAACTTAAAATTGTTTTGAGTGTTCAAAATTTTTATGGAAATAAATTCACAGAGATGAGAATGGTTATGTTTGTTATGGTTATATTTGTTTTATTATTTTGAATAGTATTTTTTAAAAAGTTAAGTTGAATTATTATTTGAGGAAAATTAATAAAAACACCCATATGTTAGTTAATTTAGCTAAACACCTTGTATATTAAAACATTAAAAATTAACAAAAACACTCTAACTCACTCGTTAAATGTCGGCAGTTAGCCATCATTGTCGGAGGATGGTCGGAAATTGTCATACCGGTATATGATCAATTGGATCTGGTCAGTCATGCGACGATCTGACTTTTTCCAATTAGATCCACCATGAATCTGGTTAGAAAATGTCAGATCTATGGTCAAAGATTTGACCGTCAATGACGGGCAAATCATGTCATTATGGAGACTTTTGGCCACCCTTCGGTGGTTATGACCGGTTGCCAGTATTTAATGGGTGGGGTGGGGGTGTTTTTGTTAATTTTCATTGTTTTATTGTAGGGGGTGTTTACTAAATTAATAAAAATAGTTGAATAGAATAAAATAGAATTGGATTTTAAGAATATTGTGGCGTGTTTTTTTTATTATTTTGAATAAGATTTTTGAAAAAGTTGAGTTGGATTATTATTATGAGGTATGATTTGAAAATTAACAAAATTATACATTCGGTTTGTTAATTTAGTTAAATACAATCAACAATAAAAAGTTCAGAAATTGACAAAAACACCCTCACCCCCCACATTTGTCAGATTCTGACCACCATCATCGGAAGATGGTCTGAATCTGTTGTAATGGCACATGACTGGTTGAATCTAGTCGGTTGTGCGTCGATATGATCTTTTCCAGTCAGAGCCACCATGGATATGGTCGAAAAAGGCTAGATCTGGCTAGATTTTGTTGTCAACGATGGTCATATCTTGGCTGTCGTTGAAGACCAGATGTGGCTAAAGATCTGACTGATAATGGTTAGATCTTTGGTCGTAGATCTTGTAGATCTGTCTTTTTTCGGCCAGATCCACGACAGATCTAGCCGAAAAAAGGCTAGATTAGCGTACTACCAGTCAGATCCAACTGGTAGTGCGTCATTACGTCAGATTTCGACCATTTTTCAGTAGTGGTGGCTGGAATTTGACAAATGTGGGTGGATGGGTGGGTGAAAATATTTTTGTTAATTTTTATACTTTTTTTTGTTAGGAGTGTTTATTAAATTAACAAACTTAGGGGATTTAAAATAATTGAATAGAATTGAATTTTTAGGAAAACAAATATGTATTTTGGGTAGGATAGAGTATAAATAATAAAACAATCAGAGAGGAAAAAAATATATTTTCTTAGAACTTTTTAATTAAGAGGAAAAGAGAAAATTTCAACAAACCCCACAAAATGTTATTTAACAATAAATTATTAAATAATATTTTCAATTCCTAATTAAAGTCATAAACCCTCGGAGGGTAATTTAGTAATTAAAGCAATCATCACTATAAATCAAGATCATCATTCATCCCAAACCCTAATCCTAACGCCTCTAGCAGTTTCCACAACCTCCTCCTCCTGTCTCGCGCTCCGTAAAAACCTTCACTTTCTGTGGTATTTTCTCTTCAAAATTTAATTAAATTACAACCCATTTTGTCTCTTTGAGTAGCCATATGAATGTACTATCAGTTTCATATTTGGTTTAGTTAGGAGGCATATATTGAATTATAGGCCTTTTGAGGGGACTCTTATTTTCTCTTATTAATAGTCTTCCAAGCAGCCTTATACATTTTCCTTAAACGCTTTTAGATTTCATTCATGTTTGTTAGTGTGAATATAGCCTCTCGAATAACAAGAATGTTGATTTATTTCCACACCATTTGGTTCAGACAAGAGGCTTACAGTAACACGCAGCATATAGGTATATTTTTACCCATTCTTCTTTAGTTTGGGATATTTCCTTGCAGCATTGGATATTTGAATGATTCAAAACATGAATATGAATGAATTGAGTAGTGCTGTTTGTATATCTGGCTTAAACAAGCTTAATAGAATGGTTTGGAGTTTATTAAAGTGGAAAAATTTTTATATGATGGTTGATTGCTGTTGTTTTTTGACATACTGTTCTTGCTAAGCTGTAGAGTTTTTGTTATATAGTGTAAACATTTGATGAGTAAACTATATATTCCACAATGTAAATCCAAAAGCTTTTGCGTGGGTTCTTTTATAGAGGTAGTTATTGTTGTTTGGAGTTAATAAGATATTACTGAAAGTGGGATAAATGGTTTATGTTAACGGGTGTTGGCGTATGAATTTGGGGTGGTTTTTCCATTTGAACTGTGAGTTTCATGTTATGGGATGAAAAATGCACCATTGATAGCCATCAATTGGTGTGGAAATAGAGAGGCTTACAGAAGGGTTTCTGATTAATATGCTTNCACATTTGAGAGTTTTTGGCTGTCTAGCTTACTCTACTATTCTTACACCAAAGGATAAATTTTCTCCTAGGTCTACTCCATGTGTGTTTGTAGGATATTCTTTAGATAAAAAAGGGTACTTACTTTATAATTTGCAAATTCATACTGTCTAGGTTACTAGGGATGTAATCTTCTATGAACATATTTTTCCTTTCAAATGGTTAGTCTCTGATGTGTCTATTTTTCCCTTAGATTCATTTTTAGATGTAGATTCATATGATATTGCTTTACATTCTGGACAGTCTCATATGCATCCCAATACAGAATTAGTTGTGGTCTCTAATCCTTCACCATCTACTTCACCATTTATACCAAATCCTCCTGCTGAATCTGAAACATTAAGCCAATCTAATCCTATTGAACCTGAAACCTTAATCCAATATAATCCTGCACCCTTAAGAAAATCAAACAGACTTACAAAGCCACCTATCTAGACTATTGATTTTCATTGTCCCACACTTTCCTCTTCCTCACAAACTCATTTTGTGAAATATCCAATATCAGATTGTGTCACTTATACACAACTTTCACCCAATTATTAAGTCTATCTTAGCAAAATCTCCTCCTTAAGTGAACCTACCAGCTTCTACCAAGCTTTCAAAGATCCTAAATGGGTTGAGGCTATGTCAAAGGAGATAAAGGCTTTAGAGGACAATCACACTTGGTTATTAGTTCCTTTGCCTTCTGGTAAAAATCCAATTGGATGTAAATGGGTGTACAAGTTGAAATTTAATGCTGATGGTACTTTAGAAAAATATAAAGCTAGGTTAGTGGCCAAGGGTTACACACAACAAGCAGGGATTGATTATGAGGAAACATTTTCCCCTATTGTTAAGATGGTGACAGTGAGGACTATATTGTCCTTGGCCTCCATTAATGATTGGCCTTTGTATCATCTTGATGTTGACAATGCTTTTTTGCAAGGTGACTTAACTGAAGAAATTTATATGTCTTTACCTCAAGGGTTCCCTAAGCCATTGGGATAAAATATTGTATGCAGACTCCACAAATTTTTGTATGGTTTAAAACAGGCCTCTCGAGCCTAGAATTTTAAAATAATTTCTGCATTAATTCAAGAAGGTTTTACTCAATCAAAATCAGATTATTCCTTGTTTATTAAGAGACATGGTGCTCAAATTGTGGTGGTTTTAGTATATGTTAATGACATAGTCATCATTCGCAGTAATTCAGCCTTAATAAATGATACTAAACAGTTGCTTCACTCCAATTTCAAGGCTTAAAGACTTAGGGCTGCTCAGGTATTTTCTTGGTCTAGAGGTGCAAGGTCAGCCAAAGGAATCACTCTTTGCCAATGCAAATATGCCTTAGAATTGATTTTCACTACAAGTTTATCTAGTGCTAGACCCTCTATCATCCCTCTTGAACAGCATGTGAAGTTTACTTCGTCAGATTATGATAAACAATTTGGTCTTTCTAGTGATCCTTTATTGGCAAATGCTTCCATTTATCAGCAGCTCATAGGCAAGCTTCTTTACTTATGCATGACTCGACCAGACTTGAGTTATTCAGTGAGTTTATTAAATCAGTTCATGCATGCTCCTAAAGAATCTCATATGCAAGCAGCCTTGAAGATTGTCAAATATATAAAATCTGCCCCTGGTTTAGGTTTATTCTTTCCATCTGACAGTTCTTTACACCTCAATGCTTATTGTGATTCAGATTGGGCTTCTTGTTTACTTACAAGAAGGTCAGTTTCTGGTTTTTGTATATTTTTTGGAAATTATCTTTTGTCTTGGAAGTTTAAGAAACAAGTCATTGTCTCTTGGTCTTCTTTAGAAGCTGAATACATGGCAATGACCTCTACTGTTTGTGTAATTGTATGGATAGTGCAGTTGCTTTCGAAACTTGGTTATCCTCCTTCTTCTTTTGTTCCTATGTTTTGTGACAATCAATCAGCCTTGCATATTGCTTCTAATCTGATGTTCCATGAGCATACCAAACACATTGACATTGATTGTCATATAGTTCAGGAGAAAATTCAAGCTGGTCTCATTACTACCAAATATGTTCCTAGTAATGAGCAGTGGGCAGATCTTCTTGGGGGGGGGTGGGGTTATTGAATCTTCGTTCAACTTCAGCATTCCAACTCAACTTTAGCAGTCCAACTTAGCATATCAGTCCAATGTTGATTGAATAGTCAAAGGGAAGTTTTAGTTGGTTTGACTAATTAAGTTGGTGTAAAAGAGTTGTAACTATAGTTAGCTGAAGTTAGTTAAGATTGTTACTAGAGTGAAGTTTATGCTAAAGCTGGATGTAAAAACTGCAGAATGTAATTTTCTTTGATCTCTAATGAAGATTCTCTTTTCCCAAATCTCTCTCTAATCTCTCACTACACAAAATCTATTAAAATATCTAAATTATAATATTTGTTGGGGACAAAATATTAGGTTTAAAAATGAAGAGGTGAGACAAATATTTGGTGTTTTATTAAGATATAAGAAATTTTGTCAAATTCAATCAAAGGCCCTTATTAGACACAAATACGAAGTCCGAGGTTGAAAATTTAAGTAATAGGTCACAAGTCACTTATGACTTCATATTTAAGTTCAAATGATGGCCCTACAATCTAATATTTGAGGTTAATGCAAAATAACTTGTATGCTTTCTTTAAAGATAGGCTGACACTTGGCTATATATCACTTTAATTTGATGGTCATATTTCTTTCAAATTGTTTCAATTTTCGAAGAACATAATATAACTTATTTTACTCCTTGAAGGAAGCTCCTTATGGAAGATTGACTAAAGAAAATCATTAGTCTCACTTCTTCTAGCATGTGTAGATGACTTCTTCAAGGAAACTAATAGAAGAAAAATATTATTTTACTCGTTGAACAATTGTTCCTTTATAAGACACGACCATTCCTTATGAAAGAACGACCGTTTGTCTCTTAAAAATGACATTTTGTGTCTAGTCAAAGTCATTTAGTGTTTTGGGTGTGGTGGGAGTTGACATGACAATTGTCAACTCATCTGTCACATTAGGGTTGTAAGAGAAGGTTGTGAAATTAGGTTGTGGGTTTAATATTACTCCAAACTTTTTGCAGATTCTTAAGCAAAGAAAATCGGTATCGAAAAATAATTGAACAACATAATAAACCAAAAATAGTTTTCAATGAAGGGTAATTAGATGTATTAAGTATTATTAACATTAGTACAACTCTGTCTCTTTCTTATCTGAATTGAATCCAATGATTTAGTGAACCTTGAACAAAAAGACATTACATATTAATTTGTCATCTATTCTAATAATAAATATGATTAATGATTTAAATTTGAAATAAATATGGATGAATTCATTGACTTACTATTAGTCTCTAAGAAAGAACCAAGAATGAGCTTTAATGATGCAAGAAAGAATGAATAGACATGGCATCTACTTTTGCTCTTTTCCTTTATTCTTCTTGACCTCTTTGCCTAAACCAATGGAGTGTTTCACATTCAATTAATTAGGCATAAGCACATGCAAATCCTCTCTCATTTCTTCCCTTTAAATGATTAAGCAATGCCTCTATCCAATACAAATAATTTAAGCTTTCAACAAATTGCCTCTATCCAATACAAATAATTTAAGCTTTCAACAAATGATACATGATTGGCTTAGAGAGATTGATTGTCAATTCTTTAACCCATCAACATACTAAATCTTATGTTTAAATAACTCACCAACAACCAAAATTTCATGGTCTTTTCATTGGATGATATTTCATGGTTAAAGTATTTTTCTCGTTGCTTTGAAATCTAAGTTGTTGAGTATGACAGAATTGACTATGTAATACAATAATAGAAGTAAGATAAATGAAGAGATAAACTTTGTAAACATACCAACATCACAATTCATATTTTAGTTAAGTTTGTAAAATGATAAAAACGTAACCAAGTTTATGACTTATATGAATTTAAGGAATAGAATTGAAACTAAAGTGTACCTAAGTTTACAGTTCATACTTTGATGATCTGGAACTTTTAGGTGAACACCTGTCATATGGAGTATACTTTCAATTTTATAAATTAAAAAAAGAAGATGTACAATACTTAATTATAGTGTGAAAAATACAAATTTCATTCTTCAATACTTAAAACATTTTAAGTCTTATAGAAAAAAAAAAAGTGTTTTTAGATTTCCATAAAAGTCCTATTTTACTTCATCCGAAATAATATGATCAACATACTTTTCAATTTTTTTTTAATTCTCATAAGATTATTTTTAGAGTAGACTATTAGAGTATTGGATTTTAACAATATAAAATTGAACTTCTCTTTTATATTTTACTAAACAAACTATTTACCGGTGTTCTCTTGTAAAGTTTAAGGACCTTGAAAGATTAAAACTATTAATTTACTGGAAAATTCGGTTCTATATATCAAAGTGTTTCTTTTTCTTTTTTTTCCTGTCACAATGCGATTATAGTTGTTAAAAAAGAAAAAGAATTCTAGCAGTGTTAGGTCACAACAATATTGGGTCCATAAAATTCTCAAATTT